TCATCCTTGCTGGAGTCCTAGCTCATGTAGTATGCCCTAGCTAATTTGTGTTGGGCTTCACTTGGGCAAAGGTCATGCGCCTCCACACCTAACAGAAATTTAATAGTGATAAATACACTTAGACTTAAAAAAACCTGAAAGTATAAGCTGAGATATTAATTAATGACAGAATGTGTGAAAAGAATAGACAAGTTTTCATTCATCCTTCTAATAAATACTTTAAGTGCCAGGCACTATGCTAGGCACTGGGTATATACAGTGATGAGGAAAACGATTCTCTATAGTATGGAGAGACCAATATTGATCAAACTAGTCCACAAACATATATTTATAAGCTATAAGAGCTAAGAAGAGTATATCCTTGCAAGATTGTTGGGTCGTTCCAAAATATCCACTGAATCATTCGACCAATACCAAAATGTCCTTGAAAACTATCTCTATCAAAAACATCCATGATTCATTAAATAAGACAAACATTTAACTTCATTAAAATTTTAGTTATGTTATTCCTGTTATATATTTTTTAAAGATTTTATTTTTATACAAGAGCTGGGGTACAGGCCAGAGGCGTGGGAGGGTGAGAGGACCCACCAGAGGCAGAGTAGGGAGCAGAACAGGCAGAAGGACTGAAATACACTGCTGAGGGGAGCAGTGGGCACGACAGGAGAGGTCTGCTGTGCCTTGTGGGATCCTCGTGGCTGGATCGAACCCGCACTGCAGAGGCAATGGACAGCTTCACAGCGTGAGGCTCAACCCGCTGCGCCACCAGGGAGGCCCATGTTATTCCAATTATAATTCATTTTTGTCAGTATCGTGAAGTTGGTTGATAGAATATGGATGATAATTTGTTCATTACTTTGTTGTATTTTGTTTTTAAATGCTAGAGATGTACTTTAAAGACTCATCACCCAAAGCAACAAAAGTCAAGGAAAAGATTAACACCTGGGATTACATCAAGCTGAAAAGCTTCTGAACAGCAAAAGAGACATTAACCAAAACAGAGAGACACACTGCTGATTGAGAAAAATTTTTGCACTCCATACAACTGATAAGGGACTGATCACAAAGATTTACAAAGAACTCACACGACTCAACTCTCCTACATTGCTGGTGGGAGTGCAAACTGGACCAACCACTATGGAAATTTGCCTGGAGGTTCCTCAGTCTACTAAAAATGGAGCTACCATATGACCCAGCAATTCCACTCCTAGAGATTTACCCAAAGGACACCAAAACATTGAATCATAAGAACACCTGTACACCTATGTTTATTGCAGCACTATTTATAATAGGTACAACCTGGATACAACCTAAATGTCCTAAAATAGATGACTGGATCAAGAAGATGTGGTATATATACACAATGGAATATTACTCAGCAATCAAAAAGATAAACTCATGCTATTCGCAGCAACATGTATGGAGCTAGAAGGAATTATGCTCAGTGAAATAAGTAAGAAGGAAAAAGAAAAATATCAATGGTTTTACTTATAGGAGGAATATAAGGGAACCAAATAAGATATCAGTGCAAAAAATAATAGCAATGCAAAACACAACAAAGCAAAAACAGACAATTATAAACCAGAGACATCCTGCAGGGGAGGAGGAGGGAGAGGGATCAGAGGGAGGGAGGGAGGAGCACAGGGGACTGTGTTGATGGTGCACAGGTGCACTGGTGAAGGACTACACGTGACGGGGGGGAAGCAAATATTGTTTAAAAATGAACAATGATGTAAAAAAATAAATTAAATAAATGTTAGAGATGTATTTATTTTTATTTATTTATGCATACAAGAACTGGGGTGTAGGCCAGAGATACAGGGGGTGAGAGGATTCACCAGAGACAGAGTGGGGAGCAGAACAGGCGGATCTACTGAAATACACTGCTGAGGGGAGCAGCGGGTGAGAGAGGAGAGGTCTGCTGCAGTATATGTGGGTCAGCATCCTGGCTGGTGATCGAACTCATGCCTTAGTGGCTGGGGATAGCTTGATAGTGCTGAGACTTTAACCCCTGCACTACCAGGGAGGCCTTTTTGCTGTTTGTCATTTAACACTTCAATGAATCTCCAATTTGAGGACAACAGACTACCATCAGCTTTTGAAGTTTGCCTTGCTGACTTTCCACTGAATTATTTGTCCTGTGATTGCCATTCAGTACTGATGTATAAACATTCCAACTTTCTGGTGGAAATCTTGGAATTTCTGGTTTTCTTCTGTCTCTGTCACACCTTTTACAGATATACACTCTCTAAATAAAACCAAGAGATCATCTAAATTTTCTCCTACATTCTCCACAATGTACTTTAGTACATTACATTACATCTTCTAAAAATACAACAGGAAGTCCAAACAATATGGATGCACACTTATGGTTGTTACTTTCCATTATCATATATTCGAGACCCAAAGAAGATATTTTTCACTAAAGGGCTTGTGAAAAATGAAACAAGCATCCTTTTACCTATGCATTTGGAAGGAACAGTCAAATTGTATTCTTATTGTCAATCTTGGAACTCATCATGCACAATGAAGGGTTAATGTTGAGATTTCTTTCCAATGCAAATTAAGTACTTTATAATATATATATATATATATATATATATATCTGTAACCACTCACTTTTTCATTGTCAGTGCATAAATAAATGATATAGTGTAACCCAATACTACATCGTGCACTGTAAATAACACCAAGTATTCCAAGCTATTTCAACTCAGGGATATTTTCTAAGTGTGGATGTTTTTGACAGGACTAAAAATCAAGGACCTTATGGTGTGGACCATAAGCCCTATGTCTCAGTGGATGTTTCTGACAGAACCAAATATCAAGGACCTGTTGGCATGGATCAAATGTCTCAGTGGAAGCTTTTGACATGACCTTTAGCTTTGGATCAAATGTATAAATAGATGTTTTGCAGTGGACCAAATGTCTGCTAACTGAGCATATGATAAGAGCATTTGACCTGGTCAGGGAATGTTTCTCTGACCAATTTGACATTTGAGCTGAATTCTCAAAGATAAAAAGAAAAAAATGAAGGCAAAGGCAGGGAAGAGTAAAATATTAAGTCTAGTGAGTTAACAATACGAGGGGCCTATTTTCACTTTCTCTTGGTAGAAGTTCAGCTAGGTACTTGGCTTGCTCACTCATGAGGCTGGGGACTCAGCTGATGACTTGGCCAGAGTGTTTGCCAGGCTGGGCCAAAGAGGCAGTCTTCATGGTCAGGATGTTGGGATTAGGAATGAAGAGGTAGATGCATGGTTGGGGGATTTTTTTTTCACATAAGATAGTAAGCAAATGAATATTTGAGGTTAACGGGAGCCAGGTTTCTCAATGTTGTTGAGAGTTGTAAAGATGAAAGAGAGGAAGAAGACTAGAATAATGGTCATTCTCTAGTGTTGGATTGAAAATGGAGCTGAATCTGTTATTTATATGTGTGTGTTGTATATACACACATTTATTTCCTAGCTCAGTTCACTGAGGGTACCTAGAAACAAGAAATGGTACCCCAGTAACAATGAGCATACCTAGCACTCAGACCTTGAGTGCTATCATTCTCCATTGAACTACTATTTTCCATTAAAGGGAAGCAGAGAGCCTTGGAGAAATTACTCATTCCAGTGCTGGGGCAGGGAGAGTACAAGATGACCTGGAACATCTTATTGTGTTCATAAAGTAATAAAGTGTTCACAGAATGATAGGGACATCTCAAAGGGACAGACATGAGTTGTAAGAAGCAAAATAACAATAGTGGATTATAACTTATTGAATAAACTATAAATCCATTAATTTGTACTAAAACATGTTTTAAAAACATGAATAAATTAAGTGGGGGATAAGAAAATGCTCTACCTAACAAACATCAACTAAAAATGAAAAGGGAATGATGAAAATAGAAAAGTCATTTAGCAACTATCGCAGTATAAACATATTCAAGCAAGAATCATCAATGGATGATAAAACTAGTAGGTAAAAGTTTAATGAGGACCAGGATACTTGTTCTCAAAGTATATTCCAAGTACTTCATAATTACTTATTAATTACTAAGTAACCAGCGATGGGACAAATTGATATTGTTTGCCTATTAGTATGATGCACCCAAAACACATCACTTCTGTGGTTTACTTGCCAAAAATGCACAGACTGAATCTAATCATTAGGAAACTTCAGACACACCCAAGTTGAGGTTCTTGCTACAAAGTAATTAGCCTGTACCTTAAAAAATGTCAAGGTCGGGCCTTGGCACAAGGGGTTTAGTCTCAGTACTATGAAACAATCCGCAGCCACTGCAGCACAAGTTTGATCCCCGGCCAGGGAGCTGACCCACATGGTGCAGTAAACCTCTCCTGTCTTGCCCGCTGCTCCCCTCAGCAGTGTATTTCAATCAGTCCGCCTTTCTGTTCCCCACTGTTTCTGGTGAATCGCCTCACGCCCACCCCCACTTCTGGCCTGTATCCCAGTTCTTGCATGCATAAATAAATCTTAAAAAATGTCAAGGTCACAGAAGATAAGGAGAGACTTGTTTGGTTTGCAGGAAATGAAAGACAAATGACAACTAAATGCAACTATGATCCTGAACTATGAAGAACTTTATTATGAGAATCAGTAAAATCTGAATTGGGTCTGTGGATTGGACAGTAGAATTTTATCATTGTTCATTTCCTAATTTTGATGGTTGTGCTGTGGATATACAGAAGAGTCCTTATTTTTAGGACTGAGTTATTAATGGGTAATAGGACAAGATGTCTGCAAACTGATCTTAGATGGTTCAGAAAGAAACGCAAAGAGAATAAGGCAATGTGTTAAAATGTTAAAAAATAAGGAAGCAGGGTGAAGGTTTTATGGCAATTCATTGTGCTTACTTGTGAATTTTCTGTAAGCATAAAACTATTTCAAAATTAGAAGTTAAAAAATGTTAATACAAATGAACGGGGGAAAAGCCATGTGGCCTTATAGTAGTACACTTGTGCAAATTTAGCTAGAATGAGGGTACCCACTCTGTGTTGATCAGATCTCACTGGAACTTGGAATTTGGCTCCTGCGAGGTAAACTTGACTACTTCACACGAGGAACAGCTGAGGAGTCTGAGGATGTTTATCTGGAAGAAGAAAGAAGTCTACAAGATAGGGAGGGACCTGATTTCTGTCTTTAGTTTTCCAAAGGGTATCTGGGACAGAGAAAGCAGATTTGTTATAGGGATAGACATTTCTGTTTAGGGAGGTTTTTTTTTTTTTACTAGTCAGAGGGGAAAAAAAGTTGAATTGTCATAGGATATGTTCTGATAGAGACTGGACAATTCATTCTCAACGCTGTCACATAGATTTCATGAATCAGATCAAAGCTGGACCCAATGACCACTAAGGTCCTTCTGATAAAGTCTATGGTTGTCTATTATCTTCAGGTATTAGGAATTTGAGCATTTCTGGAATAAAATGCAACCTACATTGGACTGCAATGAACATAAACCATCTTGCTTTCACATGGTCTATTTCTACATACCCTCATCCTTCAATAATCCTTAACACTCTGGGAAATTCATTTGTCTCCCAGAAACAAGCTAGTCACAGCAGCAAAAGTCAAAATGTTTTTATTTTTGGAAATTTCATTCAACAACATGAAAACGGCACCTAAGAAAATAGAAACAAAAGCTTAAAAGAAAGCTTGGCAAAAATTTAAATAATCAACATCTCAAAACCATAAATCACTTTTCAAGAGCCTTTGGAGACACCTGAGGACATGGAGAGCTGTCATATCTGCTCCTTTCTTCTACTTCCTATTACAACCAGCAAAGGTTGTTGGTACAATGAGAGAGAGAGAGAGAGAGAGAGAGAGAGAGACTGACAGACAGACTGACTGACAGACTGTATATCTTCTTGAAGTTGTTCCCAGCTTGCCTGCTCATATGCCTTGTTCCAGCAGTTCTTACTCTTCATTAAAAAGTGAGCCTTTTTTTTTTATCTAATGCTTCCACAAGCTCACTATACAAAACATTCATCTGGGGAAGAGAACACCAAGTAGATTTGAGAGGAAAGGAAATATGGGAAAGCTTCCCAGACCCATGGTGATGACATGAGAGTCTAACCCTAACCTTCTGATGAGCCACTTTTGGGTGAAAATATGGTACTCTCTTTAGGAAGAGGGATCCCACTGCACTATGTCCATTTACTGGAGATGGGCTGTTAGGGGAGAAGTTACTTAAAACACAAAAGACCCTTTGCTCTTATTTGGTGGCAAGACCTTTCTCCACCAAGTTTCTCCTGGTTAGGTAATGGCCCCGAAGCCTGCAACTCAGACTCATTCCTGGAGAAAATGTATTTCTAAAAAAGTCATTATTTTTCACAGGGGCCACTTCTTCCCAACCTACAGTGGCATTGAAGGTGATACATCTTTCCAGAATTCAATCCTGTTACTTCTTTTAATTAGATTCCATTCATAAGTTCCCCTGTTTGCCATCCTTTTTGTTTTTAGTCTAAGGAATTACTAATTTTACAGTCCCTTACTTGTAGTTCTATGGAACCACTGAAGGGAACAATGATTGAGACCCTTTCCTAGCCAAGGAAAGTAGGGTTGAGCCTTTACTGAGAGCACAGCTACTTCATTGTCTCCTATGTCATGCCATCCACCACTAACCCTCTCCCTCCTCACCTGAGCTTCATAGTTTCTCTTGAGTGAGCCAATGTGGTTAAGGAAACGCAATGCCAGGCCACACCATTTTTCAGCAGACACATACTTGCTTCTGCCATACATAAGTATTCCAGTATTCCAGGACTTGATCATCAGCCAGAGAACCTCCATTTCTGGGTAGCCTTCCTGAAATCCAAAGACAGTGGGTTTGCAGTTATTACTGTCACAATGATTGCAGCACTGACTCTCAATGCTGCACACCATTATTATTAAACAGTAGGTTCTCTGTTAACACCAAAGGAGCCTCAGTCTCCATGAACAATCCCATGCTTCTGGAGACTAGAGCAGGGCACTCTAAAGGTTCATGAGCTGTTGAATGCTCCAAAGACCTCATGAAGTGACATATAAACTAAAAAAGCAATGAGGTCTTTCCTTGAAGCTCTCCTCAGTCAATTATCCCTTTGATGCCTACCTCTAATTTTCAGAGATGGTTGTTAATAAGCAGTTTTATTGAATCTCTTAATTTCCTTGACCAGAATCAGTCTGTGTTTGGAATAGCAATTATATTAATCCTTATTTTCTGAGAGATATTTATTTTAAGGAATTGTCTCACACAATTGTAGGGGCTGGCAAAACTGGAAATCTGTAGGGTAGGTCAGCAGACTGTAAACTCAGTAAGACCTTATGTTGCAATCTTAAGTCTGAAAGTCTTATAGGGTAGTCCAGCAGGCTGAAAATTCAGGCAGAAGTTTTATGTTACAGTTGTGAGGCAGAATTTTTCTCCATGAAACCTCAGGTTTTGCTTAAAAATGAAAACCTTTTATGCAGAATAATATGTTTACTTAAAGTCAAATGATTGCAATTTTTAAACATTATTAATGTTTAGTGTTGATATTATCTACCTAGCTATGCATAAAGGGGGCATTTCTAAGTGGTACCCTAGCTTTATAAGTGGTCTTTAAACATGACTGATCACAAGATTATATAAGCTTCTTTACAATATTTTGCAACAATGAAAAGGTATAGTTTAAGGAGTTACAGTCTTAATAATTATATAGGGGATAGACCATAAAGGGAGCATTTGTGTACTTATTCCATGTTAAAACCCTTTATCTACACAAAAGTTCTCAGTCTAAAGAAAGAGGAAACTTGATAGAAAACTTGGACAGCTGGAATTCTTTCCCTCATTTGGATCTACAGAAAGTACTATATATAAAACACCATGAGAATGAGACATTAAGAGGAATAAAACAGTGCTCTTATCCTACAGGACATACAATGCCTTTGTGGGGAAAAGGCATTTATATATAAAGAGGACTACACAAGGCATCTGATACAAGGCCAGGCCAGTCAGAGTGACAGGCATTAGGTGCTTTAATTCAGTAAATGAATTGAGCACTAGGCTGGCACAGAGGAGGTCTAGTCTCTGCTTGAAATGCTAACCCCCACTCTTATTCACTTGCTAGATGTCTACTTTTCTTCCAAATTACAAGCAGAATTAGTACATTCTCTCTGTTCCCACAGCAAGCTTTATATTCCTCTAATAGAATTTATTGTTTAGAAACTGTTTATATATTTATCTCCTCCTCCAGACTATCAAGCTCCTTGAAGTATACAGAATTGTTTTTAGTCATCTTAGTAATCTCATAGTCCAACAATGTGCCTGACATGTATTAGGGGCACACCAGATGTTTGCTGAATTAATGAATCAGTGAACAAATAAATCAATATTCAGTCAATGCTACTTCCTCAGCAAGGTTCTCCCTGACTCTTCACAATTTATTCACAATTTTATTCCTTCGGTATTTTGTTCAACAGCACTTACAACATTGCATTGTCTGGCTCCTCCACAAGGCTAGAATTTCTTTGAAGGCAGAAAGTCATCTATCTTTGCCTGCTCACAGCCTGTCATAGTGTCTGACACAGTGTTGTGGTTTTAACTGAATGAACAAATGACTAAGCAAACCAACATGATCTTAGGGTAGCTGAGTAGGATCTAGATATCTATAGGTTACACGAAATGTCTACAATAGGTAAATTCATAGATATACACACTCCCAGACTTCAAACTATACTACAAAGCCATAATCATCAAAACTGCATGGTATTGGAACAAGAACAGACATACAGACCAATGGAATCGAATAGAAAATCCAGAAATAAACCCACAGATTTATGGGCAACTAATCTTTGACAAAGGAGCAAAGACTATGCATTGGAGCAAAGAAAGTTTGTTCAATAAATGGTGCTGGGAAAACTGGGTCGCTACATGCAAAAGAATGAAGCTTGACCACTACCTCACACCATACACAAAAATCAACTCAAAATGGATTAAAGAATTAGACATAAGACCTGAAACCATAAAATATATAGAAGGAAATATAGGCGAAACACTACGTGATTTGCACATCAAAGACATCTTTACAGACACATCACCCAAAGCAGTGATAGTGAAGGCGAAGATAAACAGCTGGGACTACATCAAATTAAAGAGCTTCTGCACAGCAAAAGAGACAATAACAAAAACAAAGAGAAACCCCACCAACTGGGAGAACATTTTTGCACCCAACACTAATGATAAAGGACTGATCACAAAAATCTGCGCAGAGCTGATGAGACTCAACAACAACAAAGAAAATAATCCAGTCAAAAAATGGGCAGAAGAGCTAAAAAGAAACTTCTCTGAAGAGGAAATGCAAATGGCCAACAGGCATATGAAAAAATGTTCAACATCACTTGTCATCAGGGAAATGCAAATCAAAACTACCATGAGATACCATCTTACACCAGTGAGAATGGCACATATTAAAAAAACTAGCAACAACAAATGTTGGCGAGGGTGTGGAGAAAAAGGAACTCTTCTGCACTGTTGGTGGGAGTGCAAACTGGTCCAACCACTGTGGAAAGCTGTGTGGAGATTTCTGGACCTACTAAACATAGAGCTTCCATATGATCCAGCAATTCCACTCCTAGGGATTTACCCAAAGGACACAGAAACATCCATTCCAAAGAACACCTGCACCCCTATGTTTATAGCAGCACTGTTTACAATAGCTAAGCTTTGGAAACAACCCAAATGCCCAAAAATAGATGACTGGATCAAGAAGATGTGGTACATATATACCATGGAATATTACTCAGTATTCAAAAAAGATAAACACATGCAATTTGCAGCAACATGGATGGCGCTGGAAGGGATCATGCTCAGCGAAATAAGCCAAAAAGAAAAAGAAAAATACCGGATGGTCTCACTCATAGCAGGAATCTAGAAAACTTAAATAAGGGACCAGGAAAATGAATAACTATAAGAAAGTGAAAATCAAAATCAACAAAAAACTATGAACCAGAGACACTTTTAGGGGGCAGGGGCGGGAGGGGAGGGATTGGGGTCAGAATGGGGGGGCTGCAATTGTATGGGGAATATAACAATAAAATTTATTATTTAATAAAAAAAAAATTCATAGATATAGAGAGCAGACTGGTGGTTGCCAGGGGCTGAGGGAATGACAGCTAATAGTAATGGGAATTCTTTTTGGAATATAAAAATGTTCTGGAATTAGATACTGGTGGTGGTTGCACAAGCTTGTGGATATGCTAAAAACTGGTAATATGTATACTTTAAAATTGTTAATTTTGTGATATGTAAATTATATCTCAATAAAATATGGATATACAGAGAAATAGTATTTATATGGGCAGAACAAAAACTTGGATTATTGGATTATTGAGATCAGCATGTCTCAAGGAAACTAACAAATGTTTGACCTAAGCAATTTACGTAGGGGAATTAATAGGAAGTGGCCTGAAAATGTAGGGTGGAGCTACCTAAAAACAAAAATTCAGGACCAGATGGCTTCACAAGTGAGTTCTACCAAACTTAAAAAATATGAACTAATACCTATACTGCTCAAACTTATTTAAAAAAGGAAAGAAGAAGGAATACTGCCAAACACATTTTATGTGCTGACATTATAATAATACCAAAATCAAACAAAGACAACAAAAAAAGAGAACTACAGACCAATCTCCCTAATGAAAAGAGACGCAAAAATTCTCAACAAAATCTGAGCAAACTGAAGTCAACAATGTATTAAAAGGATTATACAACATGACCAAATGAGATTTATATCAGGAACACAAGGATTGTTCCATATCCAAAAATCTATCAATGTAATTCACTACATGAACAAAAAGGAGCATAAAATTCATATGATCATATATCAATTGATGCAGAGAAAGCATTTGAAAAGATTAAGCATCCATTTATGATGAAAACCCTTGAAAAACTGGGGATAAATGGAACAACATAACATAATAAAAGCTATATATAACAAACCTACTGCTAGCATCATTCTCAATGATGAAGAACTGAAAGCCTTTCCACTAAGATCTGATACAAGACGAGGATGTTCACTCTCACCACTACTATTCAACATAGTATTGGCAATACTTACTAGAGCAATTAGGAAAGAGAAAGCTATAAAATAAATCCAAATTGGGAAAGAAGAAGTAAAGTAATCATTATTTGCAGATGATATGATAATATACATAAAGAACCCCAAAGACTCCATGGAAAAACTAATCAAAACAATGAAGCACTTCAGCTAAGTTGCTGGATACAAAAACAACAGACATAAATGAGTTGTCTTCTTATGTACAAACAATGAGCAAGACAAAGAAAAAGAAATTAAGAAAGCCATCCCATTTACAATTTCACACACAAAAATTAAATACCTGGGAATAAACTTAACAAAGGAGGTGAAGGACCTATGCAAAGGAAAGTATAAAAACACTGTTAGAAGAAATAGAAGACAGAAATACATGGAAAGATATTCCCTGCTCATGCACAGGAAGAATGAACATTGCTTTTTCTCTTTTTAAAATAAAGATCTATTTACTTATGTATACAAGAACTGGGGTATAGGCCAGAGGTGTGTGTCAGGGGGCAAGGTGAGAGGATTCGCTGGAGACAGAGTGGGGAACAGAGAAGGCAGATTGACTGAAATACACTGCTGAGGGGAGCAGTGGGCGAGTCAGGAGAGGTCTGCTGTGCCATGTCAGTCACCTTCCTGGCCGGGGTTTGAACTCATGCTGCCTTGGCTGCAGACAGCTTCATAGTGTTGCAACTCAATTATTTGTGCCACAGGGAGGCCCCGGAAGAATGAACATTGTTAAAATGGCCATCC